CCCCATCTCTGAGGCCAGGAGAGCTGCAGGCTCTAGGGAGGCGCAGGCGCAGGGACCTGTTGCTCAGAGAAGGTCCCGGTGGGGCTGGGACCCGGGTCGCACCCGCCTGGGGAGGGCGCCCCGACTGCGGGTGGAGAGCGGAGCCTGTGGTCTGAACGCGAGGTTTGCGGGTTTGCGGGTGAAGCGATCCGAGACCGTCCAGCCAGCCCCTGCCCCGCACCTGCCCCGCACCTGCCCCGCACGACACGACATGGAAAGTCTCCCCTCTGTCTGCAAACCCGCTGTATTTGCTAAATATCCGAAATCGGTTTTCCCCGACCCATTAGTCACTCTCAAGCTAATAAGACCCTTAAAAAAAGCCCAGGGATATTCAGAATATCCGCACATCCTACCCTCACCACTCAACCACCAGCCCCCACGCCGCTCCCAGCAGCTGGTCGGCTTGGAAACTTAGTGGTTTATGCACTTGAGGTAGTGACTGCAGATTCCTAACCGGCGCTTCTTCACTCTGCTTACAACACCGCATTTACTGTGCTCAGCCAAGACAGACGTGGGGAGTACAATTAGTCTCCTTGGATCAGATTAAATAAAATAAACTCACCCGTTCAAATGCACCAAACAAACAAAAACCCGAAATTTTATAAAGGTCTTTAGCTTCACTGCAAGGCAGGAGAGAGAGAGAGAGAGAGAGAGAGAGAGGAGAGATTTTTTAAATGAGCCTTCTTTCCCCTTGCCCGAGTATAGGCCATTTAGAAACAGTCTTGATTGACCATACACGTTGTTGACGGAGGCGAAGGCCAAGGATGATGGGAGTGAGGCATCAGACTGGCCTCAAGAACTAAGGTGCCCTGTAGCCGAGACGCAACCCTTCAGAGTCACGGAAGCTGGATTACCCCTGGAAATCTCATTTAGTCTAATCATGTGTTCATTTAGCTTTACTCTAACCCAGTGGTCGGCAAACTGCGGCTCGTGAGCCACATGCGGCTCGTGAGCCACATGCGGCTCTTTGGCCCCTTGACTGTGGCTCTTCCACAAAATACCGACTTCAGCGAAGGTACCTCCATCAGATTGAGGACGTTTTTAGCAAAGGCCAGCTTAGGAGGACCCTAATGAAGTTAATAACAATGTACCTACCTGTATAGTTTAAGTTTAAAAAATTTGGCTCTCAAAAGAAATTTCAATCGTTGTCCTGTTGCTATTTGGCTCTGTTGACTAGTGAGTTTGCCGACCACTGCCCTAACCCCACAAACTGCCTGGAGCTTTAGAAAGTGTGCATTTTTGCTTTCAAGGTTTTCCTCGGAAACCCGCACATCTGTAACTGCCCCGCGTTTCAGAAAAGACGGGAGCTGTGCAGGCACATCTGCTGGTAAGTGGCAGCCACACCGCCTCCCACAGGGACAGCGGGGCCTCCCACCACGGGTGCCCTTCCCGGGGGTGAGCCGTGCAGGGTGGAAGGAGGTCGGTGCTGGGGACGTATACAGGCAAAACGGTCACGGCTCATCAGTATACTTCAGGGTGTTTTATTTCACTCTTAAGTGCGGTTTAACTTAAAAAATACTACCACCTCAACATGTTTTGAAGGTTAACATTTTTAATAAAAATCAATGTGTATGCTCTCATTACGTACAAATATGAAATCGATAAGACAGGGAAAGACTCCCTGATCATTCACGTCATTGATAACTATGTGTTTGGTTAGCGTGTATATTCTTTAGTTTATTGTTTTCCTTTTCAATAAGCATTTGACACTGTCTTTCAAGACAGAGGTAGGACTTAACTGGAGATTCTTCTATCAAATCTGAAATTTGTCCTCTAATGTCAGAATCTACTTGTCAGGGAATTCCAGAAATAAAGTAATAAATGTGCATTTCGTTTAACTCAATTCCTTCTGTTCATCTACTATACTAATATCAAAAAGTCATTCATTATATTATTATAGAAAATTTGTGATTGATATCTGAGAGAGAAAAAAATCAACAAGATTGTAAGAGAATACTGTGTATCTCATATTTCTAATGCTTTTTGTTTATAGGTTTAAAAAAAAACAGTGTAACATCCGTTATTCCTAATGCTTTTATTTACCAAATTTTTTGTTTTGATCAGTTTTTACTGAGCATCTACTAACAAGTTATTTGCTCTAGTTAGCGTAAGGCTATCAAATATGGCCCTTTCAAAACTTGCTGTTTGCTTTTATTATTATTATCATTAAAATATCTTTTTTCCCGTTTTTATTTTCTGCCAGCTTCCTCGGGGCAAGGGCAGTCTTTCCTGTTACTTATGTCATGTAACTCACGTTTTACTGTATATTAACTATAAACCGGATGGAACTATAATACAAGTATTTAATGTGCTGAAATAGACTTAATATATTCAGTACAAATTTAATATATATATTACTTACTTTTAAAAAATAGTCATATTCCATTTTCATTGGTAATTTTGAAAATATTTTTCCTGTCATACAGTACAATGGCTCATGTAGGAAAATAGCCATTTGGTGCTCTCTCCAGAAAATCACTCCATTTCTGGGAGGAGGAGGCGTTTGGGAAAGTTAAAGGGAGTCCTGTGAATCCCCGAATTCCCCCACTAGCCTCTCTGCAAAGGACCTGATGTCATGAAGAAATGCCTGGACCCCGTCCGGCAAATCCCTTTACTGTAAATGTCTCTCGTTTCCATTTCTCATACTTTTTTCACACGTGCTTATTTTAAAGCATAAATGTGACTGCTTTCATAACAGAAAGCTGGTGAGGGTTTTCAGTTTATCCTCTGCATTCAGTAGTATGAATTCTATAATGCCGTTCCTACTCTAAAATTAAAATGAGGTCATTTTTGAGGTCCTATCAGAAATAAATGTGTTGTTTTGTTTTTCTACTTGTGAATCTTAGGATCTTGTTGAAAAAATTCAAGCTTCCAAGGAATCATGAATGTAAGTTGTATGTGCTCTTATACAAACTATTTTGAGGTTCACAAATTATAATCCTACAATTAACCCCAAACCCTTCAAATGCACTCGTTGCACAGGCTCTGGTAGTAAGGAAAGTGAGGTACTGTCCACGCTTTTTATAAATCAGTCTTTTCTGACCGTTTGGCTCTGGAAGGAATACAACGCAGTGGTAAAGGTGATGTAAGCACTCCCCCCACTGTCTTCCTGACACTGGAAAGAAAAGGCTGACTTGCAGCACCAGCCATTACGTCTGTGACGCTCTCATGCTGCTGCTGGACTTTAACACGGGGGGGGGGGGGGGGGGAGCTTTGCAGCTGGGCCTGGTGGAAGGAGAGATCGACGACCTGCTTCGGGGGGTGGGCTGCCTGCCATCCGCCCCCAAACCAGCCAACGACCCGCGTGCGCACACGGAAGGCGACGGGGGCGCGAAGCAGAAGGAGGTCAGCCCGGAGGACATCTGCTCCATCTGCCAGGAGCTGCTGCTGGAGAGGAGGCTTCCTGTCACCTTCTGCAGGTGCTGTTCCCACCTCCACCTCGTGAAAACATCCTAATGCCATGTGTTCGCAACTGACGCCGGATGACACGCTGTAGGCAAACATTATACATTTAAACGCTGTGTTTCCTTGGCCTTCTCTTTTTTTAAAAAATATATTTTATTGATTTTTTACAGAGAGGAAGGGAGAGGGATAGAGAGTTAGAAACATCGATCAGCTGCCTCCTGCACACCCCCTACTGGGGATGTGCCCGCAACCAAGGTACATGCCCTTGACCGGAATCGAACCTGGGACCCTTCAGTCCGCAGGCCGACGCTCTAGCCACTGAGCCAAACTGGTCAGGGCTCCTTGGCCTTCTCTTGTCTCCTAATGTATATGCTGTGGGAGGTCCTGTTTTTACTCTGAATATTTCTGGGCTACATTTTAAAGGGTGAAAATGGAAACCTAACTCTACTCTTTTCACTTTAAGTTTATTAAAGTCGAATAATCTTGACATTTCTCTTTTAACACACGAATAAATGCCATGGTTTAGAATAGTTACAGAGTTTTCCAAAAGTAAAGATTATTTTACTTTAAATGATAAAAAAGAATATTCTGTTTTTCAGAGCTCTGTTTGTAAACCTAATAATCCAGAGTGTCACACAACGGTTCATTAAGTGTCACCGTCAGCTACTCTCAAAGGCAGCTGGGTTTGGAAAATGTGGAAGCCGTTTGCTATTGAGCATTTTTTCATTCTTTGTTTTCCCTCCCGATCATTTTCCAAAATTGTGTCCACACGTAGTTTTCACCACCTCCCCAAACACTGTGTCTCTCAGGAGACGTTCGCTGGGTGCTGCCACATACCGCGGGGTTTCCAGAAAGAGAAGGTGGCAACCTGCTCCCAGCGTGCTTTTTATTTAAAAAGGCAGCAGGCCCTGGCGGTGTGGCTCTGCGGTGGAGCATCGGCCTAGGAGCCAGGAACTCAGGGCTCCATTCCCGGGTTGCAGGCTCGGTCCCCAGTGAGGGGCGTGCAGGAGGCAGCAGATCACTGGTTCTCTCTCATCGATGTTTCTCTCTCTTCTCTCTCTCCCTTCCTCTCTGAAATCAATAAAAATACATATTTTTTAAAAAGTAATAATCATCGTTATAATGTTCCTTTTTGTTAATACTATGTGCATTCTCACTTTACAAATGGAAAATATTTTCATGCTGCAAAATTTTTTACCACCATTTCGTTGAATGGGGGGAATTAGCTTGGAATTCTGATGCAGTAAATTAAAGATGACGGATTAGACAGACAAGAGAAGATAGAGTGGGCGTTGACGTCAGCAAACGAGTTACAGCTGGAAGCTCGGGGTCTGTATTTATGGGAAGTGAAGATGGCAGCAGAGAACACTGTCTTTACACACATTTACAGAACCTGTGCGCACAGATGGCAGCCTCACTTCATTCCTCACAGGTTTGGCTGTGGCAATAACGTGCACATCAAATGCATGAAGATCCTGGCCAACTACCAGGACGCGGTATCCAGCACGTCTATGCTGAAATGTCCGCTGTGCCGGAAAGACTTCGCACCGTTAAGCCTGATCTTGGAGGAATTCAAAAACTCGAGCAAACTGGTGACCGTGGCGGAGAAGGAGCGGCTGGACAAGCAGCTGGGGATCCCCTGCAACGGCTGCAAGCGGTGCCCGATTGAGGGGACCTGTTATAAGTGAGTGTCCGCAGGGCCTCGGGGGACGCAGCCTGAGGCCCAGGCATCTGGCCGCCTCCCTCCTCCCCTCCAAACGGAGCGGTTTCCTTGCCCGATGGGCGATGGGCCGTGTGGGGAGGGTTTCCAGACTGGGAGGTACGGGAGCCAGGACCCCAGAACTTCACTGTCTCCTGCTCTTCCCTCGCCCGAGGGCAGGGCTCTGCACGCCCTGTCTGGAGCAAGATGCCGAGTGGTACCGCCTTGGGGTCCTGGGCCCGGCTTTGCTGATGGTCCTGGACCAATTCCCACGCTCAGAGCCCTGCTCGGAGCCTCTCCCCCTCACTCACGGCCCTTCATTCTCCTGCATCCCCTGGGCCAGCGTCAGCCCAGGGCTCTCGGAGGGGACAGGATGAGGGGACACAGAAGAGGGGGGCGCTGTGAGCGGGAGGGCAGGCTCAGAGGTGCTGCCCCGCTTTCCCTGAGGTGAAGGGGGGCCACGGGAGGAGCAGGAAGGCGGGTGGGCGGCCGGGAAGGTGGACAGACAGGAGAGCCTCTCGTCCAAGAGGAAATGCAAGCTCCTGGGCCCCTGGATTTCAGCCACGGAGACCCTCAGGCTTCTGTCTTACAAAACAGTAGCTAATAAGCGGGCATTGCTCAGGCTGCTACCTGTGTTGACGCTTGTTGCCATAGCAACAGGAAACTAACACAAGGTGGGACCTTTAGACGGGCCTCGGCGCATCTGCCTGGTTCCCAGGAAATTCTGGCCAGAATTCTTCATCCCCAACCATCCAAATAACCGGGTTTTCCTTGTGCGCGTGTCCAGGTGCGCCCAGTGCGAGGAGTACCACCTGTGCCAGGACTGCTTCCACAGCTGCGGCCACGGCCCCCACGCATTCACCTTCCGGGAGGTGAGTGTCCCCGAGGGGCACCGGGTGGGTCCCCTGGGAAACGGGATGAAGTGCATCTGAGAACAACAGGACTCGATGGCGCTCTGGAGAAGAGTGAGATGAGACTGAACAGACACCCAGGACCTTAATTTTCGGAGAGCTCTTTCCCACAGGGACGTGCCAGGCAATCGGTACGTACGTTCGTGATCTGTCAGACCCAGCACAGTGACAGACGTGACAGCGTTGTACACAGTCGTCAGGACAGCCATCGAACCTGACGACGCATTCTTAAAGAGATCGGACCATGACAGACTGAGTTTCGTGTCATGTGACTGACGTGCAGCCTATGAACTTTAATTCGCAAAATAAAAGTGTGTGTGATCGGCACAGAAACATGGACGTTTTCTCTCTTACAGAAGAGAAATCAAAGATGGAAATCGCTAGAAAAGAGGTCAGATGAGACTGGAAAATACAGAGATATCAGCAGTGACATAGAAGAGCAGACACCACGTTTTCAAGAAAAGCCAGGGTGAGCTTCTCAGTGCAATTCCGTGGAGGACGTGGGGCACTTACACAATGAGTGAGTTGGACAAGTTTCATTCAGTCCTTTATTCGGTAAATACATGCTGAGTCCTCATTACAGGCCGGGGGACAGGCCGTGAGCAGGTGGGGAGCGAGGCCTGGGTCAGACGGCGTAAACCCAGGCCCAGGGCAGCCAGGTGGGCTGCCTGCCTTCGGGCAGTGACATCCGCTTGGCAATGGGGATGATTCTAAAACCAGCCGCGCGGGACTTCTGTGAGTCTGAAGGGAGTTAACACACACAGCAAATATTCCAATCACGTCATCTGTCATTAGTATTAATTCTACCAGAGGTTGTACTAGGTCCTGGGGAAGTAGTACAGTAATTAAATGATCCTCTTAATAAAAGTAAAATTAAAACTGACACATTATGTATGCACCCCTACATTCACAGCAGCACCGTTTACAATAGCCAAGATCGGGAAACAGCCCAAGTGCCCGTCAGCAGGTGAGTGGATAAGAAGGCTGTGGGTACACTTACACCATGAAACACTATGCAGCTGTAAAAAGAAGGCTCTCTCACCCTGTGAGACAGCATGGAGGGCCCTGGGGAGTATCATGCTGAGTGAAATAAGCCAGTCAGAGAAACACAAGTATCACATGACCGCACTCATATGTGGAATCTAATGAACAAAATAAACTGATGAACAAAGTAGATCCAGAGACATGGAAGCATGGAACAGACTGATGAATCCCAGAGGGAAGATGGGGGTAGGTGGGAGGGTGGGGAGAGATTAACCAAAGAACTTGTATGCATTTTGCATAACCCATGGACACGGACAATAGTGTGATGAAGGCCTGGGGCAGGGAGCAGGTGCAGGACGGGGCGATGGGGTACGGGTGTCAATGGGGAAAATAAAGGGGCATCTGTAATACTTTCAACATTAAAGATACATTTTTAAAAATTTGGTACCACAAAATATACTCCCAATAGAGGGAACTAAAACTTTTGAGGAAAAACAGCTTAAGCCAACCACTCCTCTTGCAGGGAGAGTGCCGAGCGATTGGCTGTGATCAGAACACAGGCCCCCAGACCTTGTGTCATGCCCCTTAACTACTAAAAAAATCAAAGTTGCTGCTTTTATTAACCTACTAGCTACATTGTAAAATATATGCAAAAGGTCGTTTTTAAAGGGTGGAATAAAATTGAATACTTTTTTAAAAATAATTTCAGTGAATTAATCAAACAAAATGTATATATACACTGAGTGGCCAGATTATTATGACCACCCACCCCATCAGTACTTCATTGACACTTCCAAAAATACTGAATATTGAAAACTTCCTAAGCAAATACTCTCAAGGTTGTATTATTATTATTATTTGCATAACTAATTCACTTCATTGTCCTGATGGGGTGGTCATAATAATCTGGCCACTCAGTGTATACTAGAGGCCAGATGCACGAAATTCGTGCAAGAGTTGGCCTTCCTTCCCCCCCATCTGCCTGCACAGGCTTCCCTCTGGCACCTGGGACCTGTTCTTCCCTCCGGCCACTGGCAGGCACCCGGGACCTGGGCTTCCCTTGCAGCCCTGGCTTCATCCGGAAGGTCATCCAGAAGGACGTCTAGAAGAACATCCGGTCTAATTAGCATATGACGCTTTTATTATTATAGATACACATAACCCAGGGGATATTTAGCCCATGCCCTGTGGGCACTCTGGGGACCACCGCCCTTCATGCGCCCAGACAGAGGCTCTGTCTCCTTCCCCTGGGCCCTGGCGCGGTGTCCACTCCCCCACAAGGGGATGAGGAGCCGTTCAGCTCCGGGTGCGGGCGATGTGCGGGGAGGCCACGAGCATTGGCGGCAGAAGGACACTGGAGACAGAGAGCGGGCCACACAGGAGGGAGACTCGGGGGTCAGGGGATGCTGAGCCGTTGGAAACGGGCGCACCTTCCCTGGGACTCAGTGGCTTTGGTGAAAGCGGCCGTGCAGCGACTGTTCCACGAACGCCCTGGACGTGCGTGCCCAGCGGCTTCTGAGTACGAGGGAGGCCTTCACCCTCAGCTCTGCTGGTTGTGACTCTGGGTGCAAAATGGGCCTGGTCCTTTCAGAGCCTCAGCCACCCGGTCTGGCAATACCGACGGGTCAGCGACCCCCCGGGAAGTGAGGTCGTCGGGCACGAGGACCTGCGGGCTCATCACGGCGGGAACATCGAACACAGCCAGTGAGCGCCTTCCTTCCCACCAGTCAGAAGAGCCAATTCAGTCGTAGTCTCTTAAAATATATGTAATATTTCAGTCTGAGTCTCATCAAAATTCTGCTCTGGTTTTCAGGTTACTATTTTAAATTGAAATGACTAAATTTCATTCTTTTTTTTTTTAATGTTTTTATTGATTTCTTTTAGAGAGAGAGAGGCAGGGAGAGGGATAGAGAAATAGAAACATCCATGATGAGAACCATGGATCGGCCGCCTCCTGCACGCCCCCCACTGGGGATCGAGCCTACAACCCGGGCCTGTGCCCTGACCGGAATCGAACCCTGACCTCCTGGTTCCTAGGTCGATGCCACACAGGCTGGGCCTACACTTGATTCCTGATGACGCTGATGTGAAAGTTGGTTCCTCCTTGTTCAGGATCAAGACAATAGACTTGGTAGAACGGTCTGCAGTCCGAGACTGACTCTCTCCGTCCAGGAAAGCAGGTGTTTGCTCATTCCCGCTGCGAGGTGGCTCCCTCATGGACCAGCCTCCTGATCGGGGAGTCCCGGACGAGCACTCAGTCCCGCTCACCCTCCCCAGCCAGGTGCACACGCCGAGGCCCGCGGTGCGGTCGCTGCCCCTGCTGATGATCACGAAGAACAGCAAGCTGCTGGCGCCCGGCTTCCAGTGCCGCCTCTGCCTGCAGGCCTTCTGCCCCGGCCAGTACGCCAGGCTGCTCCCCTGCTCCCACAAGGTGGGTCCCCGCCACCCCCGCTCTCCCTGCGGCCGGCTCTCCCAGACGAAGGGGCCACAGAAGCCTCCCCTTCCTCTCCGTGGTTGTACGTGCAGATGTTCAAGCTGAGCGGTGTCTGTAGAGGAGCAGAGAGACCATCGAAATGGCAGCCTTGCCCCTGAGAATGATTCCTCTTGATTAGGGCTCGTTTCTGTGCATACCATCCAGGAAAGAGAGACCGGCCCTTTAAGTAAGAGCCTGGCATCTACTGTAGTTATCTGTCAAGAGGAAAGGCTTACAGAATACTAGATTTTATGTGTATGTTTTATTGATTTCAGAGAGGAAGGGAAAGGGAGAGAGAGAGAAACATCAATGATGAGAGAAAATCATGGATTGGCTGCCTCCTGCACGCC